GCACTGCCCCGATGGGGACCTCGCCCCGCACCTTCTGCGAGCCAGACCCGGAAAGGTGAGGCCGCTTCCCCAAGGCGCCGTCGGCTGCATTGGCCCCAGGTTGTGGAGCTCTGATGGGAAATGGGCAATAAAGGGAGATGAAGTTTCCAGGCTCTTTCTGGCCAGTGCAGTGATTTTTTTTTTTTTCTTTTTTTAATTCCCCTGGTTGTGTTCAAGACAAAGGCGTTGCAGGCCGTGTTGTGGTGTGTGTCTGTCCCTCCCTGGCCCCCAAGGTCTGTCCTTGTCCCCAGGGCTCCATGGTGCTTTCTGCATGGGGCCATGTCTGTGAGTCCTGCAGGGACCCGTCTGTCCTGGCTCCCCCACCAAAGGGCTGCTTCCCCTGGGGAAGGGGAGCGGGGAGCTCCCCCGCCACTGCCTGCCCCACTGGTGCTGGCTCAGCCCTGGGGGTGGCTTGGTGCTGTGGGGCTTGTTGCCTCCGATTTGGGGCTCAGCGGGGATTTTGCATGGAGGGGACGCTTCCCCCAGCCTTTGCTCAAGTAGCGCTGTCCCGTCTTTTAGTCTCCTGATCAGGAAAGAAGCAGCTCTGGGTCTCCCCCCCTGAGAGGGACGTGCTTTCCCCGGTTGCGTGACTCCCAAGAGGAGATGGTACCCGCCTCTGCGTGCTCCCAAAAAAGGACTGGATTCTGCACAACATCCGATGATGAGATGCTGGGCTGTTTCTACTCTACAGGACCCCAGGGACTGGGTTAGTACATCCCCTTCTCGTACTTGGAGGATTTGGCACTACCAGGGACATCCTGGTAGGAACAGAGGCCTCTCGCTCCCACTATGTGAACAGTGTGTGGCCTGGGGGAGCGGGGACAACTCCTGCCGTGAACTGGAGGCCGAAGATCTCCCCTGGCCTGTATCCTGTTGATTAAACAGATTGCTCTGTTAGTGAGGCACCTCTGGCTGCAAGACTGCACGGCCATCTGCTGAGCAACTTGTAGCAGGGACCGATGCTGGGGGTGTGAAGGCGACCATGCTTCTAAAAACATAAAACTTTATTTCACTTTGGAGCGCAGCTGAGCAGCCCTGCTCCTCGACGCACACCGTCCTAACGCCTTCTCTTGAATCGATGCCATGGGAAAGGGCCTCGTCGGCCCTATCTGTAGGAATTCGCCTTGTGTTTAGGCAGGAAGGTGAAGCTGGTAGGTACGGGTCCCAGAAGCAGCTCACTGGAAGAAAGAAAGAAAAGAACAAAACCAAAACAAAAAAAAAAAAACCAAGGAGAGGTTTGAGTTCAGTACAACAGAACCACAGGTACCCAGCTGTTGCATGGCCCGGTGGCTCTACAGCGATGGTGACTGCAGTCAGATGTGTCAAACCAAGCCTCTACCCTCCCAAAAATTTAGGGCTGCTGCACAAAACCACCTCTGGTGCTGAGCTTTAACCCTGAAGCACAGTACTGGAGAGACGCAGCCTCCAGCTAAGGGCAATGTCCTTCTTGCTGGGGAGTCACTGGGAGTCGATGCCAAAATGGGTTCCTAAGTTTGGTGACCTGAATACCAGCCTCACTGCCAGCAATGACATGCCTAAAACCAACATGAGCCTCTGAAAAAGCTCCTCCCTACCTCTTGCTGTGCTTGTGCAGAGCCAAAACGCTGTTAGTGCCAAAAAGTATTAAGGTCAGATCCTAACCCGATGTAAGCCAGTTCTATTGCAATCAGATTTATCCTAGCTTAAGACTTCAACTATTTCACACTTTGGAACGCACATTGTATTTTCAGTGCAGAGTAATTTTCTTTATAGTCAAGGAGGCTTAACTTATTTCCTGGATGCTGGTTCCATACAGCATCACTAAAACTTTCCATAAGACATATCAGAGAGAGCATCCCAGCAGGGCACAGAATCGCACAGCAAGAGCCTGAATCTACAGCACAAAAGCAGAAATGGAGTCTGCAGAACCCTGCTTCTGGTTAGTGTCTCCTTAAAATGCGCTTTAATGAATAAACCTAAATTACTTCGAAATGTTGAGTTCTTATAGCCATAAGTGTCTATTACACGGCACTGTAAAGACCACAGGTTACAAAGCTTTGTGCAGCCTAATGCGGGCAGGTTCTGCTTGAAAAATGGCATTTAGAAATTCTGATCAAAACTTGATGTACTTGTAACGTGGTTTTAGGCAGCTGTTCCCAGTACTAACAAAAGGGATGAGGATTAGCAAAACCAGGGAAGGCTGTAGCTGTGCTCTATTTTTGCTAATCTCTGTTTCCATGAGATGGGAACTAGCAGCTGGCTGCCCCAGCTCTCATTTTAGCTGGCTTTGAGCTTGCAAAGTCATTTCAAGGCAGTGCCTGAGGACTCGTAGATGTGGGGGAAAGCAGTTTCCTGCACTTTGCATGAACTCAGAAATCAGATAACAAAAAATGGGGAAAACGCTCAGGTCTCCTAACTTGGGGATGGGGCCTGCCTTCCTGCTTGGCGTCTGTATGGACCTGGCAGGGCGGGACTGTCCTGAGGACTCATAGATGTGGGGGAAAGCAGTTTCCTGCACTTTGTTGCATGAACTCAGAAATCAGATAACAAAAAATGGGGAAAACGCTCAGGTCTCCTAACTTGGGGATGGGGCCTGCCTTCCTGCTTGGCGTCTGTATGGACCTGGCAGGGCGGGACTGTCCGGGCAGAGCACGGAGGGATCTGACGTTGAAAGCCTGAGACATCCCATCGTTGCACTCTGTTGGTTCCTACGACTGTCCTGGGATGAACAGCATGTCATGAGAGAGGTCAGCTATTCTAGATTTGCAGTGAGTGCTGGATGACCTGCTGAAGCAGATACAGGGAGTGAGAGTGTTCCTTATGGCAACTTCAAGCTCAGTTAAAACCTCAAAGTAAAGCACTGGTTAACCCTTGCTGCTTTCTTACAACCTCTTAAACTGCTTGGAAAGAGTCATCACCCCACCTTTGGAGGATGCATGCAGACGCAGTGACTTTGTGGGGCTCTGCGATGTCTCTTCCTAGCAATTTAAATGAAATTCAATGCTTTATTACCTTATTTTAATCCAATCGTCCACATTTTGGCTCGCCATCAGCGTCTCCAGATAGTCTCTCCCCATGTAGTAAGGTGGCCGCTCGTTAATTTTCTGAGGTAGGTATTCTAATAAGCCAACTGGAATGTACCTGCAATGAAATGTAACGGCACGCCGTGCTATTGCTCAAACGGTGCAGGCTTGCTGCGCTAAAGATCCTCTCAGCAGGGGAGAATTACCTGCACAGGAACGAGAGCCATTCCAGCAGAAACTTCCTGGTCTTCTCCACTCCCTGAGTATCTGACCCCCAGTGCTCAAGGCCATAGTTGGTGAAGTCTTTGAGGATATCCAATCTCTCGTTGGAGGAGATATCCCAGTGTCTCTGTTCCTTAATTTCAGTGAAAAGCCACGGTTTGATGAGTGCCCCTCTGTAGCCAAAAAGAATGTGCATTGTTATTCCCATGACTGATGCTTCTGAATATGCCAACTAATTTAAGAGGCCTCCCAGCACTTATTTGCCAGCCAATGATGCTTTTTTTTTT